AAAAGTGGGAAAATCGTTATAAAGAATAAGAAAATAGTTATGTTAAAATTACTAAAAATAGTAAAAAGGGTACGTATGATAAAAATAATGTGGAACTTCTTGAACATCTTCTATAAATATAGAACGGAAGGTTGGGGTTTCTGATTGTCCAGTTTTAGCAAGTGAATGAAAAATATCCCATAACTAGTCATATATATTTTTCTTAATGAGATTAAACTTTTTTCTTATTCTCTTACCAAAATAAGAGAAAACGTTCCTATGAAAACTTTATGGTGTTATCAAGACCTGTTGATTTAGTATACTAAAGAAACCGTATAAATGTGCTTGTGAGAAACACCTTTTATAGTTGTCATTTTAGCGAGGTAAATTTCATAGGGAAAAATGTTTGCATAATGATGAATAAATAATGGGGAAATGGGTAGCAACAGTAGCATAATGATGAATAAATAATGGGGAAATGGGTAGCAACAGTAGCATAATGATGAATAGATAATAGGAAAATGGGTAACAATAGTAGCTAAGGTATAATTTTTGTTGTATATTTGTTGACTTTTTGGTTTCAGAACTGATATTTTGGAGCCTTTGTATCTTTAGTGTGTCGCGATTATTTGTTTATTTGTAGTGAAGGACAAAGCTTAAAACAGTTAGACTTAGCTGCGTAATTTCTTTCATGACTAGATTAGTTATTTTAGTATAGTAGTATTTTTTTATATGTGAAATTTTTAGTAGTCAGAATGAACACTTTTTTTCCTGAACAAATTTAGTATTTTAGCCATTTATTATATACAGGTACGATGTCGCTGAAAAAAAAAGTTAATGCGTAACGTCCGTTGACATTAGATCAAAATACCGATGCTTGTACAGACTCTTACTAACTTGCTGCACGAGGTGTTTTTGAACTTTAACTTTATCGGAACGTAAAGCAATAATTGTACAAATTAGTGCAAACAACTTATGTGGGAATAACCGTAACGATAACTGGCAATGATACACCTCTGATAAGGTTTGCTGGTTAACCGGCTGATTTAGTTTAGGATTGAACTTAGCTCTGTTGTCATTAGTTTAAATTAAGATGATGTTCACAATTAGGCATTCCAATAGCGGACGATTGTTTTGAGGGACCATTACAACCAGATACCTGAAAAGTATGATGTCTTTATTCCGTGGGCTGAAGTAGTTGGTGATGGATTCAATATGTTGTTTACTACATGTAGAGCACTGTTTTCTAGGGAACATTTGAAGTGAAATAACTATCTCTGTATTATAATATTGTATTTAATAATTGTGTTTTATTGTTGAACACTTTGTTTTGATAAGAGAGTTTCTTTTATTTGTTTGTTTGGTTATGTCTTCTATTATTTCTTCTTCTTTTTCAAACACTTTTCAATCAACCACCTTTTACGACAGCGGAAGTCACGCGACGCTGGAAGCATGCGCGCTGTAGTTTCTAGAAGGATCATGACTTTTCCTGGCAGCTCTAGTCTGTTCCATGTGCTCTGTTTTTTAGTATAT